AAAAAACAGAAAGAGCTGGTTTTTGCCAAAACAAAGTGTCACTTATCGAAAGTACTGGTGTGCGAGATGTGCTTTCTGATTTGTTATTAATGCCAGAAGGAATGTGATCATTTAGCATTATCTGAAACTTAAACCTCTCTTCACCCTAACATCAGTATCAATGTTCTCTATACTTTTCTCGGTATAATTCTTCTAGTTCTGACAAGGAGAATTTGTTTAACAATCAAAGGTTGTTAAGTTGGTGATCATTTGCTATATTCTCATTATCTTAAAGAATGACTCGGTAGTATTATTGTGAGGAGAAATTAAAAACTGGTCACTCCCGGGGTTCGTTAGGTTCAAAAACACAAATATCTACATGGAAAACTATTGAATACCTATAAATTCCCTTGTCATGAAAACCTAGCAATCCCATCAGAAATCTGAAAGAATCGTCCAAACGCATCGATCTGAGGCTCGGCACCTTCACCTGCTTCCTCCAGCTCGCCCCAGGCTTGTCACTGCTCACTCGAAAAGGACCTGGAGGCCGAGAGAAGATCCTAACGAATTACTGCAAAACAATTAATATAAGGAAAAACAAATTAATTTACTTCCTTGATTCTTCTCCAGTTGTCCTTGGAGGGAGTTCATCCGTTTTCCTCACTTGGCGCATAAGCTAACAGGTTGTCCATTAATCCATATTTGACGGTGGAGATATTTCCATGTTCATGTTGGGTAGTTTCTCACAGTTTCCACGTCAAGTGAGTTGTCAGTGAAAAGGCGCTCAGTGCATACAATGGAATAACACTCCACAAATGAAACATTGTCCTGTGCTTGGTCTAATAGAAATCCTACGTAAATCGGCTGACGACGAGCGGACAAAATTAATAGGTATTTGATAATACTTAAAGGACCTTTTCCACTGACGCTTATGTTTGTCCGTTCAGCAGGCCTGGGAAAGAGAATGATTACGGAATCGACAGTCGAACAGAAATAGACAATCACACTTAATTGGCTGCTTGATGTGACTGACGTATGACGTGTGTTGGAAAAAACTCAAAGGACGAAAAGAGACGGTTAAAATTATTTTCAAAGAAGGGCACTGAAGGCTACAGATTGTGGTAAGTACTGTCTATGAAAACAACTGATTCGCTTCCATTATTTTGCCTTGACATAGACTAAGGAAATCGCCGGTTTTATTTTCCCAGTTTGTCTCTGATTTGCGTGATTCGCGTGACAGTGTAACGAACACCCCAGTAGAACAGACGGCAAAGGTGTGTTCCTCTTTGATGGACAATGTAAAAAGTCCATCTACGAAAAAAGAGGCTTGAGTCCAAACTCCGTAGAAAATATGTATCAAACTTGTTAAATGAACCATGACATTTACTAAAATAAAAACTCCGAACTTCTTAAAAGTCAAAACGAAGAGTTAAAAAATTGCGCGAACGAAAAACAAGCAAGAAAAGTTTGTGAAAAATGTCCACGTCAGTTTTCCAATGTCAACGTTTGAGTTCTTTGACCTGATTTGCGAATTGTGAAATCACTTACACTGCGCGTGAATACAAAAAGAATATAAGTTTTCCCTATATCTAATTTCTCTTTTTTTTTTCAAACTGAGAAGAAACAGGGTCAAGATGGACAGCATAGAAGAAGCTTTATTAGCTATCTTCATAGGTATAGTGGTCGCCGAATTCCTTCGAAAAACTAGTCGAGTGTTGCAGGCCATCGAGGTGTTCAAGGAATGTTTGATTAAATTACACAGTCAGGTGCTGGCTATCGATGGTTCATTGGCAAACACTATGTTCCGTGCCTTATACATAAAAATAACCTTTGCTTACGTTTATATAAAGGATTACACAAGTACAGAAAAATACCTTGGGAAACTCTTCCTATAGCAAGACTGTAATGACACCGCTGAAAAAGGATTGCTACATTTATTCCTGGCAGCAATACTTCAGGCACAAAGTAAGTTCATGAAGGCCTGGAAATTTTACGAATCAGCAATCAACATCACGAAAACGATAGGAAACACAAAAGGCCAGGCACAATGTTACAAAAACCTCGGAACAACGTTGCAATCGCTTCGTCAATATGACAAGGCCCGAGAATATCTGGAGAAAGCACTCGCTATCGATACAGGAATTGGAAACAGGGATGGAGAAGCAACAAGCTAAGGAAACTTAAGAACTTTGTTCCACTCACTCAGTCAATATGACAAGGCCCGAGAATATCAGGAGAAAGCACTCGCTGACACTGACAGGGATGGGGAAGCAACAAGCTACGGAAACCTAGGAACTTTGTTCCAATCTCTTGGTCATCATGACAAGGCCCTAGAATATCAGGAGAAGGCACTCGCTATTAAAATAGAAATTGGCAACAGAGATTGAGAAGCAAAATGCTACGGAAACATAGGAACTTTGTTCCAATGCCTTGGCCAATATAGCGAAGCTGAAGAGTGTATGGAGAAAGCACTGCGTATCCAAAAATTGGTGATAAAAGAGGAGAGGCAAGTAATTATGGAAACCCACATGTTTGTTTCTCTCGCTCGGCAAGTATGCAAAGGCTGACGACTATCTAAAGAAGGCAATGGCAGTTAGAGAGGGTATCGGAGATAGAAGGAGAGAAGCGGCAGACTACAGACATCTTGGTAAAATTTCTTGTCAGCGTGGTGAATATGACAAGGCTCAAGAATATTACGAGAAAGCCTTCACAATTCACATGGAAATCGGCGAGAGAGAAGGAGTAATAGTAATCTATGTCGATTTAGGATTGTGTTTTACATCGCTTGGTAAAAATGACATAGCCGAAGAGTACTTTAAACAGGCTCTCCTATTAAGTAGGGATATTGGACAACACTTACTCGAGTTTTACTCTCTTTGTTATCTATCGGTGTTTAAGGTGTCGCAATGTAATCTTGAAGAGGCTTCTTCGTATCTTTTTCAAGGCATCCAAATGTTCGACACTTTGAGAGGTTTTCTTAAAGAAAACGATCAGTTTCAAATATCTCTTTTAGAAGAGCACGGCACCTTTCCCTACATGTTCTTCAGTTGGTTGCTTTCTTCCACTGGTAAGCCGCAAGACGTCCTTTATGTCGAAGAGCGGAAAAGGGCAAGAGGCCTGGCCGACCTGATGGCAGCTCGGTACTCTGTTCAAGAGCAGATCTCGAGCGATCCACAATCTTGATGCGGTATTCAAGGGATCATCACAAAAGAAGCAGATTGTGCATGCCTGTACATTTCGGTTGGTCAAAATGGGGTACGGTTTTGGATCATT